GGGGGGGAGAGAGGGAGAGAAGGAGAGAGAGAGAGAGGGAGAGAAGGAGAGAGAGAGAGAGAGAGGAAGAGAAGGAGAGAGAGAGAGAGGGAGAGAAGGGTTGGAGGAAGGGAGAAAGGGATGGCCATGGGAGTCAGAATTCATAATAAAGTAAGCTACGATTCAATGTCATTAAAAATAAGGAAGGATAAAGAATAGTCAGAAATTAACCAAATTAATTCAAATGAGTAAAACTGAATAATTTGATCCTGTGGAGAAAATTGTGGAAATACAACTTACTGCATTAACAATATATAAACACCAGAAAAAACAAACTATAATTGATGTAGTTTCTTACGGAGTGAGGGAATGATCAAAACCAATGTTAAGAATTAATTTGATTATTAGATTGTAAGCAAGTGCTTATCTCTCAAGCCGAAAAAAGTCAGAGTTAATCCTATTTAACGTTGGCTGGCCTCTATCTCTAACTATATTTTTTTCCAAAAAAAGGCAATAAAATCAAAAGAGATACACTTTATATACCCGGAGTTTAACCCAGTTATTCAGCAAGTCATACAGAAGAATTATATCTAGAATTATAATGTGGTCATATTCTACCTCCTAAACAAAAAAATCATTTACAGAATCAACAATCAAACTACAATTTCAAGGCACTTCATGGAATTTTATGGTCCAGGGCCATCTGATACAGGTGAATTTTTAAATGGAAAAAATGATCAAATATATTCTTGCACAGAAAAAAATATATGCAAGACTAGAAAGGCTGATGGAAGGTTGATGAACCTCAGATATTAGCAGCTGACATTAGTACCAGATATTAGTAGCCTGAAATGGGCTAAAAGCCACAATTCTAAGAGAAAGAGAAGCAACACTGAGTGTGTATAATAGACACACAGTTTGTGTAAATGTCGTTAGTAGTCAATTATGATTAGCTTGGGCAAGAAAGAAAGCTCCAAAGATAGCAATAGCATTTATATACTGCCCTCTCTAAGCAGTTTTACAGAGTCAGCTCTTGCCCCCAAGAATCTGGGTCCTCATTTTACCCACCTCAAAAGGATTGAAGGCTGAGTCAATCTTGAGCCAGTGAGATTTGAACTGCCAAACTGCAGCTAGCAGTCAGCTGAAGTAACTTGCAGTACTGCACTCTAACCACTGTGCCACCTCGGCTCTAGATGCCAAGACTATTCTGCTGGTTGTATAGGAATAGANGGGGGCGATATGCTGACTCTGTAAACTGCTTAGAGAGGGCTGAAAGCCCTATGGAGCGGTATATAAGTCTAACTGCTATTGCTATTGCTATAAGATTAAAAGGAAATTTGAGAGTACCCATCTCTTTTCAGTTGTGGCCAATTATGTATTGACATGGGATGTTTTTAAATAACTGGAAGGGATCAGGTCACAGCAAAAATGCTTTTAGCTTTTAGTCCATGCTGTAATAATAATAATAATGATGCACATCTCCAGAGGGAAAAAAGGTCTTAAGAATGCAAAATAATATCTTCAGAGCAACTTCACACATTTAATTTAAATGCTTTCATTAAGAGCACATAACAATCTAGCTTCTTTATAAGGCCGGAGTCTTCTCTTCAAATTCCAAGAATAAAATTCCAGCCAGCTGCACAAGCTGTCTTTGTCGCTCCCCCGCGATACCATCAGCAAGCAATAGATATCAAGGCAAACAGACTCACTTCCTCGCGCATTTTAAAGATAATTCTTCCGACGTAGCCTTCCTCTGGGAACCAGCTGTTCAAGAGCTGGATGACCTCTTCCTCGGGGCCAAGTACCCTCTGGAACGGTGGCTTCCTATACTCGTTTCTGTCTTTCGATATAAAGCATTTCTCCTCCATCAGAAAGTAGTCGGTGGGATAGTTTCCAATACCATTTGCATTAGCTAAAATCTAAAACAGAACCACGGTGATAATTAGAATGGCAAAGGAATGAATGTTCAATAGCAAATACATGTTTTATTATTTAGCCCGGTGTGTACTAAAATGTATTAACACATTCCTCAGAGGGTCTTTCTTAGAGTTGTCTTATGATTTAAACAACTGATTATTTTAAAAGGGACAAAATGCTTTTTCCTCTTATTTTTTTTGTTCAGTCGGGCTTTGCCGGAATATTTATTCTGCTTCCCAAGATCGTCGGAATGGAAGGACAATCTGCTAATCAGTTGAAGAATTTTCTGCTTATGAATTTCGGCACTTTTAGGCTTTTGCTCCCGATGGGAAAATACATGACAGGCAAAAGTTTTACGATGAAGCCAATTTGCCTGGGAAGGAGAGAGACATCTCATTTCTTCACACCAAACAAATCATCCAAGCACACTTGGATGGCAAGAATTAAGAGTACCGCATCACCACCAATTTTCTTTTTTTTACTTTAAGATCTCAATCTTGCCATAAAAGATTGCATGACTTTTTAGTATCACAGAATAATTGACAAACGTCCTTTTTAGCAGCTCTGTAGCATAGGTCATGATCAGTGGTGGGTTTCAAAAAATTTTGGAGCCTCTTCTGTAGGTGTGTCCTGCTTTCCGGGTCCACTGGTGGAACCTCTTCTAACCGGTTCGGTAGATTTGACGAACCGGTCCTACCGAACAGGTGCGAACTGGTAGGAGCCCACCTCTTGAAAAGTGTCCGGAGACTACAATTGGTCCAGAATGCAGCCGCGCAAGCGATACTGGGTGTACCTAGATACACCC